GCATGTCAGAATGTGGATAAATGACGCCCTCTACAGTTGTATACCCTTCAGTGACTTTTTCCTTGAGACATAAAGAGTTGTATTTAAATACTGTTGATCCTACAGATGCTGAACCTCTAGCTAGGCTTTGTGGCTCTGATCTTCCAGGAGAAATCCAATCGACAACCGGTGTGCTTGTTGTCAAGTTTGTCTCTGATGCTGCCGATCAACGAGGAGGGTTCCGTGCCTCATTTGTGAGTCATGGTATGTTTGAAGAATCGCTTGTCTTTCTACTGTATGCAGTCTACATTTGAAGCCATTTGTAGCATAGTGTCAGTCTTTACTGGTATAACAGAAATATAAACTCATGGAGTTGAGTGTTTTTCCCATTCAAAAATAGCATGTCCTTTCCTAATTCCCCAGCGAGAGAAACTCCAATTGATGGGTTTTACCTGCAGAGCAGATGGCATTAGAAATAAAAGTTACAAATTGCTTTTTTATTGTGCTTCTGTAATAGAAAAGAAAGGAATATATTTTGGAGTATTGTTTCTTGATAAGTTGACAGTATGTCTACTGTAAATAATATTCCAGTCCCGTCCTCTTATCCATTCCAACCTGTTCAGCATTCGATGTCAGCACAGCGAGCAACGTACCGGAAATAGTGACCCATACCCCAGACATAGGTCAGCCCCCTGATGAAGGCAATGCGCTGCTGTTCATTGAGAAACCGGTCGATAAGACGGATTTGCGCCTCTGGGACTCAGTGACGCGCATGTGCACTGTTAACCAAGAGGGCGCTGTTGTCAAGTGGCTCAGAGACACCCAAGAACTACCTGCAGGTATGCTATGCATTGCAATGCACTTGTGACCCAAATCTTCCCACAGAGCACAGTAATGGATTGTGAGTATTCATTTCCAAGGGAGGAAGAAAACCTTTGTGACTCGAGTGACGAAAACTCAAATAACAATTCTCCTGTGGGCCAGTAATCAAACCCAAGACCCCAGTGGTGAGAGGCAAGTGCTTTGAGCATTGGCCCCATCCCGCGCCTCCTGTGAAGAACTAAATTTGTGTACATTCTGTTTTTCTCAGGTGAAATTACTGATGGTATTTCTGTCACTGAGGTGCCCCGCGGAAGCATGTTGACTATTGATAGAATGGAGGAGGAACACCAAGGCATCTTTGTGTGCCAAGCACAGCTACCTGGACAACGACCAATAATTGCTCCAATTGCCCTTCGAAGTGAGTCAGATTGTTGTGAGTTAGATGATGTTTCAAGATGCTGCTAGGATGTTGTGAGTGTCCATTCTGGGTGTGCATTAGCTTGAGTTGGTTCATTGAGTGTCCAGTGTCTGACATGCCAGAGTGACGAGGAGAGTGCCTGGACGAAGTTTCAACCACCCGTCCTGGCTGCAGCTGTCAAAGTTTGCTAATCCCAAGTCATAAGAGCATATTAAGAGGGGACACATCCGGGATGGGATCCACTATGCAGAGGTTCAACCTTTTTTGGTTAGCGATGCCCAAGAAAGCCTATTTCACCAAGAGCTTCTGGAAGAAGTTGAAGGCAAAGCTTCCCATGACCTATGGCACGGTTGTTGCAAGGGTGGGTGTAAGGGGGATGCTTTCCATACCCAAAAAAAATCCCAAGAAAAGAAAGCGAAATAAATGAAAGAAAAGAGACAAAAGGTAATGAAAATTACAAATTTGCTTGAAAAACCTTTAAATTGACACCCCGGAACCCCCCCCCCAGCAAAAAGCCTGGTGATCCCCATGACCCTCTGAGAGAGGAGACCCTACATTGTTGAGGATGTGCACCAATTTACACACATTTGGCCGCCTCCACCTTCAAAGGTAGTACTTCCCTTTCCGAAAAAAGCCTGCACGAACAGTGGGGAAAAACCAATCATGAAAGGTCTGCAACTCCGTTAAGTTGCATGAACTCTGACTTGAGATTTAGTGACTTGTGCTTGATGGTAGTATCGTTCAACAGAGAAGGGTTTGTTGTAACAAACCCACTTCAGTGGCAGAACAAGTGAATTACATTTGAACTTTAGTGGTCTTTAATGCACAAAATGATGAAATCAAGAATATCATGTCATTTGATGTAGTCAGTACTGATTTTGAGGGTTAATTTGAAATGCCTTCAATTAAGAGCTCTTCAAAGTCTCCTTTTCCCCCTCAAGGCTCAAACACCTGACAGAGTTCTAAATCACTGTCCTTTTTTCCATCCTTTTCCAAAATGACAGTCACAGAGGAGCCGTCAAGCGTCATTGTTTCATCACCAGACTATATCAGTAGTGTAGATGATGGATTTGAGACGGTGCCACAAGACGCCTCTGTCATCGACGGTGCCAATCACGTCTTGGAGTGCTCCTACCCAGGTAGCCAGTACATCATCTGGCAGAAGGATGACCGAACGCTGTTCACCGATGACAGAATCTTCAAAATCTTTGCAGATAATATCATGATCAATGATGTCAGGGTGACCGATAGTGGCAGGTACAGCTGTGTGGCGTACGACGAAAATGACGTCAAACTCGGCACAGTCTTTGCCAGACTGACAGTTACATCCAGCCTGGATGTATCTGACGGTGAGTTTACTTTTAACTCATGCCCCATCCTCATTTGTACTCTTTTCAAAACTTAAAGCCATTGGCCAATGGCAGAGACACTCGTCTATTTTGGAAAGAGAAATAGATTACCTGACATATTGCTAAAAAGCAGGATTCCCAAAATCTTTGATGTTAATTGGATTTTTTTTTCTCACATCATTTCAGACTGTGGTCTTGTAAGAGCTAGAGAGGCTGTAAACGATACAAATTTGGAGAAATACCGCATTGTTGGTGGTGATGTGGCCAGGAAGGGTTCCTCACCATGGATAGCTCGTCTTTGGCATCGGAGTCACGGTGCACACTTCTGCGGTGGATCCCTGATTAACTATCGTTGGGTTCTCACGGCAGCTCACTGTATCAGAAGTCCAGAACATCACTACCGGGCCGATGACATTCAGGTCCGCTTGGGTGATCACGATTCCCTCTACAAGGAATCCAGCGAGATGATATTCAGGGTCTCGCGGATTGTGATGCACAGGAACTTCAACATGAAAAGCTTCAATAATGACATAGCCTTACTACAGCTGGACCCCAGGGTGCCGGAATTCACCGACTATGTCTGCCCGATATGTCTGCCCAAACCCCGCCTTTCCAAGAGGTTGCTGGTGCCTGGCAAGTATGCCCGGGGGTTGGCTGGGGGAGGCTCATTGAGCGTGGAAGTTACCCTAGGTATCTCCGTGAAGTCGGCGTTCCTATAGTGTCCGAAAGGGATTGCCAGGTATCGGCTGCGCATTTGTTCACCACAAACATGTTTTGCGCTGGCTACCGCCAGGCTGCGCAGGGAGATGCTTGCCAGGGGGACAGTGGGGGTCCTCTAGCCATGATGGAAGGGGACAAGTGGCACCTGCTTGGGGTGATCAGCTGGGGGGAAGGGTGTTCTAGGGCTGAAAAGTATGGCGTCTACACCAAGGTTGCCAATTACATCTCCTGGATCACAGAGGTCGTGACCCCCAGTGTTGAAGATGAGTCAGTATCAGAGTCCGAGTCCTCATCAGTGTCCGAGTCTGAGACTGGTTAAAACACTTCTACAAAGCAAACGAAAACTTCTTGTTAATGTATTAAACTGCACGATATTGCAACATAAATTGTATTAAGAGTGAATCAAACCACTATTGTATATGTTGCTTTAGCTGTAAGTTTTATCCTCTGCTGTAGCCTGGACGTCACTCAGCCTCCACTTATCACAAATGTTTCACGTTCTCCCTTATGTTTCATGACTAGACAAGGCTTGCTCCGATTGTATAATTAGGCATTTTGCTTCAGGCTTCACAAAGCATGGGGATATTCACACATGTATTTGACTGGCGAAATCTGATCACCAAATGCCGAATACATTTGTGCAGTGTAGATCAAATAGTGATGCAAGAAGAGTATATTTTCACCACTGCCAAGCTCAGCTCACTTGCCTCTGCAATGAACAATACACACAAAGCTGTGTAATCTCCCGCTGGCTTCTTATTGTCTCCTCTCTCTTTCAAAGTACTGTCTGGACCATGTACGTTGTGATGATCACAAATTATTTTTAACAAGTCAGTTATAGTTCTCTCAGATTGTATTTTCCTTTTTGTGCATATTCTAGTAACGTATGCAGCGGAGACAGTGGACAGAAAAATCAATCTCTGTAAAAAAAAATTAAATCTGAATGTTTGCATATGTACACATTTACAACTAATTTCACCGAAACACTCAAAAGGTAACAAATTGACAAATTTCTACCAACAGAAAATCAATCAATTTAATTAGGTTGCATGATTGACTTACAATAGTTTACTTGGTTGACCTATTAAAAATACAGTTGCAAACTAATGCAGAGTCAGGGATGTTTGACTTGAGAGGTATTCAAAATGAGGCGTGCATTGCTGTCATGTAAACCCTCTTCAGGGTACTCTGCCTGATAGTTTGGGAGGGTGAAACGTCCATCGCGTGTAAGACATAAAGTGAAATTGTGAACTTGCCTCAAACTAAACACAGTTTCAGCAGTGACAATAGAATTGGGCCCTGAACCAGGTGACAACTCCGAACACTTGTTTTTTTCCTAACAAGTCCCTTGTTTGTTTGTTGGGTTGTTGGGGTGTTTGTTTGGTTTGTTTTGTTTGTTTGTTTTTTATGGCAGCAAGTTTCATTGTCTGCAACATAAAATGTTGGGGTGTGGAGGGCGGGCTCGCTCAGATTCCGGGCCATTCAGTCTTCCTCTGACTTTCCATCATCAGTTTTCCTCCTCAGTCTGACAATGACGATGCTGTTCTTGGCTTCCTTGAGACACCACCATCTTCCTAGCCGATGCTCCTGACCAACTCCTGCCACAAGCAGGCGGCCGTCGCTGGTGAACTGCAGGGCATTGACAAAGCCCACCTACAGGACAACACCCCCCCCCGGAAAAAAGGCAAACAAAATGAAACATGAGGTTCATACACAAGAATACATGCAAATACCCGAGCTATATTCTACTAGAAAAAAATGACACCCATCCATTACCTGGTTGCATCATGTCATTATGCAAGATCCCTGGCTACATAGTGTTTTCACAGCTTCTGACTAGCTTCCCATGAACAAAGGCTTGCGCCACTGACAGGGCTAAGAAAGCTCTCTTAATAGGTTTTTTCTCCCAGTACAAAAGTTACCCTAAAGCTGAACAGATGAACATTCATTTTTTCCCTATCACAGTCCTATATCCAAGATAACTAAATACAACTTAAACACGGCACATTTAATGCCACATTTAATTCAACTGTGTCAAGAACACCTTTGCAAGTTACCCATAATGCTCTTCACTTCTTTCCCAACTGGACAGAATCCAGGTTAAAATGCTGACTTTGGATAATAAAGACCACGCTCACCTACTGTGCGTGTGACCCCAAACTTAAGAATTTCAATCATGGCTCATGTTTAGCAGATTCCAAAGCTTGACTAGTGGAAATCCACTGTCGACTAGTAAAGGTTAGGATTAGGCAACAACTTGAGGAGCACCCAAGTTAATAACTTGCTCCTAGCATGATGACTTTGTACGAGGAGAGGGAGGATTTTTTGGGCATGTTCCCCGTAACGTTGACAATCTCGGTCTTATGAAACATGGCATCCACCACTGTCCTGTGACAGCATCTACACACAAGTTCCCCCTTACCGCTAACACTTGAACACTTTTGCCGCTTTGCACCTGGCAACCATGTCAGAACCCTGCAGGATGAGCATTTGCAGATGGCATTTTGTTCTATATGCCACATACATAAACACAAGTGCACCAACTCAGTACACCCGTCCCAAGATGTATTGCTGCTCAGTATCAATGCACTCTCCCCGTTCATGAATGTAGCCCATACAGTAACACCACTAAAGTCAAACAATGCCGCTTCCTTTTTTTACCAGTTAAAACTCCAAATTTGAATATGTTGGCAAGTTTACTTACAACGTCTATGCTGGCAAGGGGCTGTAACGAGCGGTAGCCCTCTGAACACTGCCAAAGGCGAACCTTGGAATCTTTGGAACCTGCTGGTCACAACAAAACATAAACATCACCAAGTCAGTCCACTTCAAGTTCCCCTTTTTTGTTAGGAAGCGGTGTAATGTCAGTGGGATTAACGGTTCAGCGCAGAGCCAAGACTGGAAGTGGAGAGCATATTGTTCAAAGCAAAGGGATAAGAAAAGGCCATAGGCCCTGCTTTGCTCGAGCGTAGCTCGGCTTTTCAATGGCAAAAAACCGGGCCAACAGGTTCCGGGTCACTCCCTAAAAAGCATCCATCTTGTGTTTTTACCTGAGGCGAGTAGATCGGTGCTCTGCAGTGCAGCCACTGCTGAAATCCAGTTCTCTTCATGTGCGATCGCAGCACCTTGGGTCGCGGACTGACCGTTGGTGATGGTGTCAAAACGTTTGGAGTGAGCATTCTTTACCACGGCAACTGGTTTCTTCTTCAGCACACTCCACAAGGCAATTGATCTGGCAGGAAGCAAAGCAGCGAGCCACTTATTGGAATCTGTCTAGAATCCTGGAAGACAAGTCTTTCATTGTACACTGAAATTTTTTCCTATTTCATGGCAGGAATGCGCAACGGTGCAAATGGGTACCTTTCCCATATGTCAGCACAGGAAATTCACCGTCTTTTAGAAACAATATACATGTACATATATTTTTTTCATGAATGTTGCCTTTCAACTTTCCAAACCATTTGTACAGGTTTCCCTGAGCCTATGGTAACTGCAAATGTAATTTTATAACACCTCGTTTGAATCCACCAAAGGTCTTAAAATTTCTGTTAAAACCTGTCCAACAAGAGTCTCCCAAAATTCAGCCTCTACCAGTGGCCTTTAATAGATAGGGTCCTAGGTACGAGCACAGCCATTGTTATTTACTTTGGTATCCCACAATGCATCAAAAGGCACTCATTCTCACCCGTCATCACTTCCGCTGATAAAATGCTCCTCGTTGATCAATTTCACACAGTCTACAGAGCCCCTGGCCAAAACAAAATACTTCAAGATCAGAATTCTGACATCATTTTAGTGAATTTAACATTTGCTGGTAAATATAGTCTTCACAGCAGAGATTAACATAAACACCACAACTGCATTCAAGTGTGTTAATCATATCAACACAAGCATAATTCTGAGTGCAAAAATGATAGAGTAGGACTCACGGGGAAGCGAGAGCATACTCCCGAGTAGACCAGGAAAATACTCTTCCATCATATGGTTATTTCGGGATGGAAGAAAGGCAAACGATTTCTGTTTGCACAACGTGATCTTTCCTGCACCCCCGATTAACAATTATCGTTCAAATGTGAACGTAACCATTGTGTGGAACCAAATTTCCCAAGTGAGGGCATTTCTTTTCTTACTGAATCCAAATGAAGTTTTTAAAATCTTGCATGAAGTCACTTTTGTACAGAGGCTGAGTACAATTCCGACCTGTTAAAGGCCACACAACAAAGACAGATACTGATTTTGGGTGTCAATGTCGATGGGGCTGTCAACATGTCAATGGAACTGTAAGTTTCTTGTATCTAAATTGGCCTCATGGTGATGCAGTTCTTGGATGAGCTCAGCAGTAGAGTGGTTAGTCATCTGTACTGGTAAGCAACAGGTCATGATTTCACGCCCAATTAAAGAAGATGCGACTTTTTTCCACAACCTCTTGGAAACCACTGGGAAACAGTGTTTGGTAAACTGAGTTGGTTAAGGGCAAACTGAGTGTTCATTTATACCCATGCCTTTCCCTGGTACACAGAAAAGTCAAAAGGGGAATTCAAACAGACCACCTTGGCTCACCCTGGACTATTGTAGATGAGCTGGGATTCCTCAATAATCTTCCAGACACGTAACGAGTTGTCTCTGCCTCCAGCTGTGACGGCTCTCTCTCTGGAGAGGCTATCAATGGCCATGATGCTGTCTTGATGCCCAAACCTGCCAGGAGAGGAAGAAGAAAGAGAGAAAATCGGTGACTCGTACACCAAGTCTCCATTTCAAGGAGCAGCTGAGCGGAATAGATTGCTTAGCGAGGCTGTGTCCGAATTTCTTGGCTACGACTTGAAATCATGCTGAACTCTATGATAGTCGCTGCAGCCATCATCCGTAGGTTTGTGTGTCATTTCATGCTACAACCAAGTAACTAGGACAAGGGGTAAGTTCACACGGTAAGCATAAATCAGCTGTGGACAGCCAAAAGCCAATTCACTTAGTATGACTTTTAAGCTGGTAACCTGCTTTTACTCGGCAAATATTTCTGGCTGCACTCACTGTAAAAAATCGCATGGGAACCAGTCAGAAGCAATGTGGCTTGCATGACATTTTGATAGGTAATCAGTCTTTGCAATTAAAGCAAATATGTCCTTGTGCCAAGTAAATACTTGTTCTTCACAGCTCTGTGGAAGTGGCCCTTGGTTTAAGGACTTATGCGGGAGGTATTTCACATCTCTTTGCAAGCCCTCTCACAATTTAATGGAGTTATCACTTTGTAGCTGTGACACTCAGAACAATGTGTCCATGACATATTGATTTCTCTGACTGAAAGATTTGATTGATGGTGTGTCTTGGACCAATTTATCAACAACTGGTCAGTTTTGCATGGTAACCTCTGAGCAAAATATATCCCGACTACCAGACAAAATTGATCAATGGTTGACATACAGTCACTGTTTAACACTGCTAACTGATAAGTAAATAAATTGAATATTCAACAAAAGGCGTATCAGAGATGACCAGACTGAATACTCACAGTGTTTCTACATAGGCCATTTCGTCTAGGTTCCACACTTTGACAGAGCGGTCGTGTGAAGCGCTGTACAACGTGTGAGTTCCTTTTCGAAATGATAAACCCTGAGGGAAGTAGAAGGTTAATCACTTGATTGGCCGATGAAATAGACCCCTTTTTAAAGAGAATCCACTGAAGGCCATCAGCTGCTGCGGGAGGTCATGACACTGACAACTTTTCCACAATCATGAGCAAACTGTTATGTCATCTCGGGCATAAGTTCAAGCTTTAGGCCCGCTTGAAGGAAAAAAATGCCAGACTCTGGAGGCTGGTTTCTGTGATCAGTTCTCTGAAAGTATAGCTTTGCTAACGCTAAACCAATATGCCATTCAAAGTGACATCACCGTGACAGAATCCGTGTGCACGTAGAATAACACTACAAAAGTGGAAAAAGAGCACAAAACAAAACTTAACCCCCCCCCAAAAAAGAGAAAGGGGTGTCCATATGTTATTATGAAGTTTGTGTCCTACCTGTCGTACTTCATACTCAAGACACACTTTTTTGCCAGGAAATATGAAATTTGTGTGTTACTTCACTTACACTTTTGAAAGAACCCAAAGGCACATTATTTGAATTTAAAATTTTCGCGGGGCATCAGGCCCCAATTTAGCCAGCAATGACTGGGCCTTACCGTTCCTGATCCAAGCAACACCCTCCCACGCACGTTGTGGATTCAGAAAGATCTGCAAAGATCACGGTTCACTGAACAAAACTCTTCTGACATCTCTGCCGAAACCTGAGGCTATTCCAGCCAAATCCACCCACCGGAAAAGCAGCAGCTAACTAGCGCACACACTCACCGACACGGCGTCCCGGTGGCCCCTGAACGTGTGTAAGAGCTTCCCGCTCCCCGGGTTCCAGATGTGGATGACCTTACTCCGGCAGCCCGATGCTAAGAAACTGTTGTCGCTAGAGATGGCGAGGGCTAGGACGTGGGTTGTGTGACCTCTGTGCGTGTCCTCGGTCCCCTTTTTACCGCCCGGTATGACATACTCTTTGCAACATGACTCCAGATTCCCTGGAATAATTTCAACAGGTGGTTGAAAAACAAAAACCGTGAATCATTCAAAACTCAAAAAATTAAAGTAAAGCACTTTGGAAAATCTAAAATCCAATGTTTCACAAGCCATCCAACCTCAACTATCAACAAAAATCAGTGAAGACAACCAGGATTCTGCAGTTCCTCGAACATGACGGCAATTTCACTATGCACATGACAATTCTTCTAAAGCAGCCTAAATCTTGGGGTGAATTTGGGTGGACTTGGGAGCATTTGGTGTAAACAAGATGTTCCCCTTGCTAGCTTGGCCTATGGTTATAGTTAATGACTCACGATCAACGGGTTAGGGGCTCGAATGTAGTTGCTATTCATACTCGGGCTGGTATCCCATCCATGGGGAAAAGAATACTGAGTCAGTTCATACCAAGGTCACTGGAATTAAACACTGGCTGAACGAGCCACACTGCCACATAACAGACAACTCTTCCCCTTACATTTGATGATAGAGCAGTCCTTTGCTCCGCTGTACGCATGCTTGTTGTCGGGCGAAATGACCAGACAGGTGATCGATAGCTTGTGACCTCTTAACACCGTCACCTCTGGGACAGCTTGGAAGTCATAATCTTGGGCCACCTTCCTCTGCAATTTGCCACTCTGTTCAAGCTAGAATCAAGAAAACAGAATTCTGAAACATGTGTTTCTCTGCTTTGTAAAGGTCAACCAGGCATTCTGTCAACATCTGGTCGTCTTATGCATTTTCACACTGCATAGAAATAAGGAAAGCCTTTTGAAGAACAAAAAACATAAATTGTATTATAAAAATATTAGGGATTTTTCATTAATCCGAGATTTAAATTTATTCTGCATGAAGTATGACAGCAGAAGGACGAAGAGGAAGGATGAAGGATCATTTGATACAGAGCTGATAGTTTTACACCAGGATCAACTCTGTCCTGAACATATCTGGTTCTGGTTCGTAACAGCACAAAAAAGCCTTAAGACCTAAAGGCACATACTTTAGCATCAAGCCAGGATTTCGCTTGTGAGTGATAATACACATGAATAATTGTATACAGTACAAAAGAGGGCATAGCTGCACCAGTTGAGTTGCAGTCCAGAGAAATATTTTGAATTAATGTTATTCCAAATAAATGAATGCACTTAGCATCCACTTTGCGTACTTACCACCTCCTCTCGAAGCCTGTGTGAGATGGCATCCCTGTCAATTTCCTTGGTTTCTTCGTTGTCTTTTTCTGGGAGAAAGAAAGAAATGTAATGTAATAATTAAAAAAATTGTAACTTTTCTTTCTTCACAATATTTTTCATACTTTCAAAAACTTTAAAGAAAATGGATTTCTTCATAATATTTGTCTTCTACATGAATATGCAATTTGGGAGCAAACTCAACCTTGAAATTTTAATCTTCCACATATGAGCAAATACTGCTGATTACATTTTTTTCAGCCTCTCTGACTACCTCATATCTCCGCTCTTCCTTAAAACCAAACTCCTGCATACTCACCATCTTCTTCCAGCTGTGCCAAGTACTGCTTGGTCAGTCGCAGCCGCTTTTCTTGGGCCGTTTCCTCCTCCTCGGAGTCGGAAGATGAGGACTCCAGCTTCCTCTTGCTGGCTGGGAATTCACTGCATTTAAGATGGTGGAAATCTTTGAACAACTCCAGAAATGGAAAAAAACAAATATGTGTAAAGATTGCAAGCATCACCCAGGCAGAAGGTACCAACATCTACAATTGTCGTTAAGGTTTTCCAAAAGCAGTTCAATAGACAAAGTGATTTCAGAGACTCTGTCAATAACTACTTACACTTCATCTTCAGAGGAATCGCTAATGATAACTTCACTCAGTTTGGACCTCTTCTTCCGGAGTTTGTTGTTCCCTGCAATACTCGCATCTCTTTTGGGCTTGACCGAAGAATCCTTTCAACATAATAAATATTTGACAGTAAATTTACGGTCAGGTTTCCACATGCAGACGTGTGCCACACATCATTGTACATACAGTAAACAAATTTCAGGAAGAGTTCCATATGGACGCCAGTAATTATTCCCTACAGTGACCTATTGGCCATCAGAAAGCAAAAACATGATCAGAAAAGTTTAATTTAGGAGGGAAAACCAAGTCATTTACATAGACCAGTTTTCAAACCAGTCTCCTAGGGTTTGTACATACAATGTAGAGTGCCGAGTGGTGTCTGTATATGGAGCTCTTTCCCAAATCAAATCTTCCCATATACTTTGCAAATGGCTTGGTCTAACACACACAGAGTTATTTATTCTTCTATTCCAATGTTAATATGATCTATAGTATCAGTTAATTACATTAATCCATGTAATACATAATGGACATGTTTGCCATTTGGGGTGGCCCACGTGGACTCACTGACCATCAGTCATAATGAAATGAAGAAAACATCCAACCTGGGCAACCAATTGGACATGCAAAATCTGCAGAGCTGCACTGATGAGATAAAATGGTCTGGCACTGACAATGACATGACTCAGCATGCTGAGGGCACTGCATAACTGACCAGGAACTGAAAAACGAACACGCTGGCTCACAAACGACACATTCAAAAGCTACATGTAGCATAGCTAGAGAACAGGAAGCGATTTTTGGGCAGTTGAGAGATCAATTTTCGGCATGGTTTTCGGGATGTTGGTACTCTTACTCTGGTGTCGGGATTAGATGCCATTAGCAAGTAGGCCTACAGACATGTCAAGATATATGAACGACTACGCCTGCAACATCAAGCGCAGGTGATGACCATCTGAGAAATGGTAGTTCTCACCTTTTTGGCAAAAGGTTTCTTTCTCTTCGATGCAGCACCTCTGATGAAAAAGGACATGTTACTTTTAAAAGAAGGCAGCGGTTCGAACAGAACGACCCTCGCAGAAGCAGTTGCGTGATACATACATGTACATACTGACATGAACACGTGCGCAACAGACAAAAGAACTATTGGTGGCGCTATTCACAACCAGGTCAGGGCGGGGATCTATGGGTCCAGTCCACTAATTCAAGCCCCATTGAAAACAGTGTAAAATTAGCACCGTTCAGGGCCCAATAGCATGCACGCCAACATCCCTGAGATTTCTGAAACAAAAATGAAATTCTTGTCTGGTCATTTATCTTTCAATTTCTTTTCAATTTTTTGTGGGTTAACCAATTACATTTTTAATTATTCCCACAAAACAAAACCACCCCCCCCAAGTGAGTTTTCCCGAAGTCCGATTGCACCCATTTTTCAAGTGGCAACCCTCAACTTTCTGGGGCACTTAGGACCATTTTTCAACCGTAGTTTTCAGCCCTTCTGCTCTCATGTGAAAGCTCAAAGACCCAGGGTCGTTGATCCCGGCAACAA